TTACTTAGTGAACAAGAAAAACAGGCTCGATGAAAACAATGCTCTTAATTAGTTAAATTAGACCTCAGAGGAACTCTTTTAAATAATTTCTACAATATTTTTTTAGTTCTGTTGTCAGTGATATTTTGAATTAAATAATTTTCATTTCGAAAAAATTTTTATGATTTTGAAAGGACCAGTGTATTTTGGCTGTAAAACACATGAGGTGGTTGTAAAGCCTTTAAAAATACTTCGTCTCCAAGGCTAAATTTCGGCCTTTCTCTGCCTTTCACAACTTTATCTTGAGTTTGAAAATACTTCTTTACCGTGTAATCACAATTGTTAATTGTTTAGAACGCATTAATTAACATATGAGTAGTAAACACAATAAAGTTATCGTTGACAAACTTCAGAAAATATTATTAAAATATCGTTCTACAATATTCTATTAAATTATATAATAAAGTTTCAGACTTTCGTTGTCTTCAGTCTGAGTTATTAAGTGTATCCACACTTATTTATGTAGATATAGACGCAAGGGGAGAACTTTTCAAATTGATTCTAAACTAACTAGAAGGATCGTCCCTAAAGATCTTTTCTTTATTTCGTGGATTTCGAGACCTGCCTTATCACGTAGTGCCACTTGGATGGGTTGGAAACCTCGTGCGTAGTTCGCGAGCTGAAATTAATACGCAAGTTGCGTCTTAGTGTTTCTTTATTAAGAAATTATGCAAGATTTCATGGGGCATCAAAGTGAGATGAATAAAAAAAATCACATAATTTTTTTACCCATTTTTGAGCAGCTCGATTTAGCTATAGTTTCTTTCTTATTCTATATATTTAAATCCTGGAGATTAATTTAAGTTAGGTGGCCTATCTTAATTACTTAGTTTAAAATTGTTTCATCTGATTGATCCCTGACATATCCTTGTTAAGATTAGCTATTAAATGTTTTATCTTTTCAATTTCATATTTCTGTTTTTTTTTCAAAGTTTGTAGGTTTAATAGCAAATTAATCGAAGTGTAAGCATTTGATTGTTACTTAAATGTTAGAGTTGCAACGTTTTTTAAGTTTTGAGGCTGGAACTCTCACCTTCTTGATAATTTCTAAAATTCATCGGTTTTCTTATGTTTACCAAACATTTTCAAAGAGCAAGTTGGATAAAAATTTATATATTAAAGCTTGACTCTAATAATTAACTTAAATAAATCCAACGTTTAGTAAGTTAAATCTATCATTACATACGTAACATTTTAAAACTAAAAGCAGCTACCTAAATTAAGCGTATTAAAATGAATTTCAGACAAGGATAATGATTAAAACGTTTTCAGTGATGTTACAGACTAATAACTATTAAAGAATGTTACAATGTTCTACTTTGCGTAAAAGAGGCTCTACTGAGTCATGTTATATGAAATGAAAAAATACTTTTCATAAGAGCAATAAAAACAAAATTTATTTACAAAAATGCAGGTTCGTGTCACGGTTTTACCTACCGCTATCTTATGAGAGAAGAACGGAACACACTGCTGCCAATCCACTGCAGCTAACTACTGGCATTAAAAGGTGTAGCTCGTCAGTAGCCAATATTTTCCATCTTAACTTGATTCAAGCCATCAAAAGGTGTGGCCCGCCAATAGCTAGCGTTTTCCCAACTTTAATTTATTTAATTCTAAAGAAGGTAGAAAGAAGGTCATCAATTTTAACATTAAAGGTATCTATTGCCTGAAGGAAATTAATACTTAAACAAAGTACCAATTCTAGCCCGAATTCTATCCTACTAAAATTACATTACAATTCTTTATGAATAATAAATTTTATAAGTTCATTCCGTTAGGAGTTTTAATCTCTCGACCACATGCAAATCGTTTTGGTAGAGTCTTACAAATTTTTTTCATCTTTTCTTTTGCTTTCTGGTTGCTTCTGTTACTTCAGCTGCTTTTTGATGTCTAAGCAATTTTCAACAGAAAACATTCATTGGAACGGTCATAACAATACACCTGATATTACCCCCTGGGGTGCAACTGGCTGGATCCTATATCCTGACAGAGTACTCTGGGGGAAAAGCATTTTGAGCTTGGCGTCCAGACCTAGGAGGGTCGTTTATACGGCCGGACCAAGGGGTGACAGAATTCCCAGAACCGGGATCTGGTAGCTTAGTCATTCGCGTATTCGGGTAATGACCCTCGTGCGGGCCCGTGTAGTACTGGCAGGTGCGCATCAACGGCCGTCAGATCGCCAAATTGACATAGGTCTGTAGGGTCCTCCCTCCGGGTGGTCTCCGAGACCCGTGGTGTGAAAGCATCCGGTGGGCCCGTTTCCCCCGGAGGATTTGAGAGAGTTTCTAAAAGTCTGCGCATGGTTGAGGCCCCCTCGTACAAGAGTACTAGTTTTAATCTCTTTAAGAGGTCTAGCGGACATGTCCGGCCCTTCCGCCTGATACGGAGGTTGATTTCGGGTGTCACCCTAGTTGCATTAAGTTGCAGGAAGGGGAAGCAAATATTGATACCTGATATTGTCTTGACACGTAAAATTTTCACTTTACCGTCGTGGCGTGGAATAATCTCTATCGTTTGAGCAACCCAGCACGTAGACGATCAAATATAAGGGTGACGAAATGATTATCAAACATATTATATTTCTGTAAAAATGGGGGCCAATTTTGATTTGCATGTGGGTGGTCTACAGTCTAGGATCGGCACTGCATCTATGCCATAAAGCAATGTGTCATTAGTATGTTATGCATCTTACTATTGTATAGCGAACGATTTCATTATTTTTATTGAAAAGCCTCTCGCTGCTAGTTAAGTATCTTAAAACTATCCTGGGTGTTTACTGCTCAATGTGCTGATTTATACCTGCCGAAACAGGTAGTAAATATTGTCAGTTGAAGAAAATAGTTTCTGAAAACGATTCACGGGAGGAAATGGCCTGCTATATTCTATAGAAATTAGCCTTTTCTTTATTAACTAAATTCATTAACATCCATGTAAACTTAAATAATATTCTAACATTTTTCCGTACCATTTAACTTTGCAATTTCAAACAGCTCATTTGAAATATAAAATATTTTGTTATAAAGCTTTAAATCCTGGGGGGGTGGGGGGGGGTAGGGTGGAATCTTGAGATAGTATGTTAATCATAACTGCTTAGCTTAAAATTGCTTCAAAAGTAAAACTTTAATCTGAGTAAAAACGTCAGACTATAATATTCTCTTATTCTTATGATACTGATATATTTAATTTCATTCTTTCAAACATGCTGAAACTTTAACATAAAACTGTTTGTGATACTTCCCAATAATAAAAATTTTCAGACTTATAAAAGTGCAGTTGTTTCTTCACTGAACGAATGTTAAGCTTTTTCAACAAATGGAATTGCCCATTTTAAATTTTTGTTAAATCTACTTTTGCTTCATTTCTGTTATATTATCCTACAATAAATGAAAAAAAAATGATCAGCGAGGCTAAATCTTAATAACGGAATACTGTAATATTTGCATAGGACCATATGAATTAGATTAAGTCTTATAAATTAAACACTAAATCCTATAACTCAAACGAATATCCATTTCAAACTTTTCCTATACTGAGTCACCGCCTCATAATAACTAGAACAATTTTTAAATACCACGATAGAGAGTTGGACTCTCCTCAAAGGTAACAAAATTTCATTTTATACATTTTAAGCATAATATGCAGAATATTGAGAATTAAAGTATAATAGCTTATTAATTATAACATGATAAATACTTTTTGAGAAAAATATTACGGATTAACGATTTATCCCTTATGGAAACCAGTAAGTTTAAGCTAAGAATATTTCTTTGTTTGATTACCTTTTGAGAACACCTCCGAAATCATACATTTAACAGCTATGCTTTTGTAAGATAACAGATAAAGGGATCAACAAATCAACACTACTATGTTCTATTTCAATTATAAACTAATGAAAATTTGTGTTCGCTCATCGTACGTGGCCCATTAAAGGCACATTTACCAAAGAAACTACTTCAGCATTTCAAACATATACATTTTGTTCTGGAGAAAAATCTCAACGAGTTTTATTAATATTTATATCAAAAATCTTTTGCATCTTGTAAAAAAAAACATGCAAACTATTGTTATACAGTTTTGGTTATTTTCAGTTTCTCAATTTCAAAACAAAATCAAAACACAACTGAAATATTCGCAATATTCCTAAAAAAAAGTATATTTTATATTGCATGGTACTTGCTATATATGCAGTTGAATTTTTAAAATTCATGGCATAAGGCTTTGGGGAGTATAAATTTCATACCTCTCACGTATCGTGAAATACTGAATATTTCAAAAATTTTTGTGGAAAGATATTTTCATATATTTTATATTTTGAACTGTAAACTATTTGAAAATATTTTATATTCGAAACCAACACGCATAACTTTTATTTTAAGTTATGGAATAAGTACGAATTCACATGAAAATTGTAAGATTTTATAGATAGTATTTCAGTACGCAAAAAAAAGAAAACATCCCTTAAAGTCAGACGCATATTCCTTGAGACTTGAATACTTTATCTTATTGTATTCTTTTTCAGATAACTTATGAGACTGACGATATGAGATAAAAAAGATAGAGTTTAATCTTACAGTTAAGGTGGAAGGACTTGTTTAGTTTTAAACAAACCAGTTTTGTTCAGTTATCTACCTTTTCTAGTGTCTCTCATTCCATTTCCTGCCAGAATGATGTTTCAGTTTCGTGCGTTATACAAAGTATATTAGAAAAATACTATTTAAGCTGGTGTCTGAGTTACTTCAGGTACAACGTGTTCTGCCCTTTGACCACGCTGTTTCGCTGATGTGTAAGGTTGCTATTTTATGATCGTGCATATTAACTGCCGGTTTGTCTACGCCAGTGGCAGAGCTAAGAGCCAACTCACGTTAATTACCTCTATGCAGCTTAGGCTGATTACGAAACTTAATCTGGGTTTTAATTTTGTATTTATCTATTTTCAATTACAGACAAACGTATTTTCTTACCTTGTAGCACCAAACGTTCTGACTGTAAATCCTTTCTTGGGTTGAATAAAAGGAGCTTTTTACTCTTCATGTTCCTGGTCATTGATGCAGGTTGAACTTAGCGAAAAGTTGTTTCACAGTTCAAGTAAAGATCTAGACAGAAAAAGTAACTTTAATTTAGCTAGAATGTTGCATTTCACAGCAGACAAATTTACAAGCCATGTATAGGACAGTGGAAAAATTTACTTTGGTTCCTTCAAGACTTCAAGTTCCATCGGCCCCAGTTAACCCAATGGAGGGTTTTGGTTTCATAGTCGAGGTCATGCCTGCCGCTATGAAACCCGCTGCCACTTTTGACAGAAAGAATTCTCTCATGTCGTTCCTGGAATAGTTAGTTTTGCATTCCATATTATATACTGTTTCGGAAATGCAAAAAAATTACGATTTTTACGGCAAATTCTGAGGGCCTAGCGTTTAGCTGGTACAAAGGTATAGACAAGTTCCTGCTAGGTAAGTCAGGAAGTGAGACACACAGCTGGAATACGTTTACAAATGCGTTAGTAAAAGCATTTTGAGTGGTTAGAAACCGAGATAAGTTGGAGACTGAACCTTCAGCAAATATCAGAACAGGGCCAAGGAGTTGGACGAATTTATTATAAGAAAAATTCAAATCTTCAACATGTTGTAAGGCAAAAGACGAGGTACCTAAGTGATCGAAGTGATTATACCAGAACTGCTTCCCCCAATTCAGGTCTTTTTCGAGGTGAGAAGTCATACCAAGCTCAAAAATTTATTTCAATTAGAATTCGAAAGCTGCGAGTGACGGAAAGTAAGCGTACGGCGGGATATGGGCAGAAAAAAAAAAACCGTCTGGACAGTTTTCGAATCCCCACTTTTAGCAAAGGGCTATGGTTAGCCAGAATACGCAATAACTTTTTCTTTATACTGCTTAACATGTATTTGACCATTACTATACTCTAAACTAAAGTAACAGTCATCGTTAATGATGACCTGTTGCCAATTGCCAGGCTTGCCGAGAACTTCTTCGTTTCCCAAATCTGATCCCTTTTTGTCACGGTATTTACAGAAAAGAGTCGGAATAAATAATCGAAGCCTATTTAGAACTCCATAGGTAAATAACATTTATATCACGGTGGATCAGAACTCGATGAACTGAACATAAATTATCTGAAAGCTTGGAGCTTTGGTAAATAAAAGAAGATGCCTACTTTATGATTATAATAAAGTAGTAAATTGGAAATTGTTTAAATATTAAACACGAGGCTTAAATTAAGGTGCATTTGAATTTTTTATATGCAAGTAGGGAATCTTAATGTTGAGTTTAAAGAAAACTCCTGCAACTTTAGTTAATGATAGAGTATTTGCCCTTGCATTCAAATTACAGAAAACAATGTAAATTTGTTTTGCTCTTTTTTTTTTAAATTTAAAGTAGGTTTTTAAAATAAATGGAAATGAACGCAATGCTGTTTAATATTAACATTATAAAATATTTCTCCCACCTTCCTAGCGTGCCTTCGTGGTGTAGTGGTTCTGCACGCTGGGCCGGTATTCCAAAAGTCCGTGGTTCGATTCCCGGCGAAGGCGATTGCTATTTTTCATCTTGCCTGCTTCCAAAAATACCTAATGTCACTACAACACGACTGCCTCATTTTAATCTAGCAATATGCAACGTGAGGACTGTTATTGCCTTCTTTTATTGCGAGGATATTTTAAAATTGAATTTTTAGATCTATTTCAGTATTATATATTATAAGTAATATTTTACAGCTTTTAATTTGGCTTTGAAATGTTCAAATTAAATCTTAACCATCAAATATTATATCAGTATTAAATAAATATAAAATCTTGAATACTTAATTAATGCATTAAGTATATTTTCATTTCTTATATATATTTTCATAAAGGCTCGACTATGCTGAAAGTTTTAGAAATGCCGGATGCCGGACAAGCAAAAAATTCCGGATTGTCAAATGTATAAAACCTGCAACGGGCGGTGGAATTCTAAATTGAAAGAAAAAATTTCCAGTTTAAAATTATAAAAAGTCACTTTATTTAGCATCAATTTGAATACCAAATGTCTAATCTAAATTTTATGCCGTACCATATATATGATGAACCGTAGATAAGAAGTGTTGTGCAATCTCAGTGTTCAATGTGTAATATTACAAAAGTTTAAGCTAATTGTATGTGGATTTTACATTAAGTTTCTACATTTTCTTTGTTTTTATACCCAATCTTTTACAATACGTTAATTGCAATTGTAATATATTTAAAAAGGAGCACTTACATTTTTTGAGTAAAAAGAGGAAATATTAATACTTGAATAAAATAGAAATTATTTGAAATTTTGAATTTTATTTCAGCCTTATTCCGGGTTACAAATTTGTGAATCTTGTTAAAAGCATTAAACTTAACATGAAGCTTGAGGTTTTAAGCAATTTTTTAGAAATTCTCAGCCTGACTCAATGTACTTAGGTAAGCGGGACTTAGACATAAAAGTAGGTGTTAGCTAGAGTTTGAAGTCCTATTAATTAAACTATGTACTTGAAACAAAAGTTTAAAATATTTCTTTTTAGAGTTATTACCTTTATATAAGAGATTAGTTCCCCCATTATTACCTTTATAGTTAATAACTTCAGCGGGAGGTGTGGTCAATAAAAAGTCACAGAAAAGGCGCGTCCTAGACTTCCATAGAAGTTCCATGGAAATTGTTTATCTTTAGGTTAAAAAGAGCAACAATACTTTTCTAAGCAAATAGAAGAAATATTACGGCTTCCTAGTATACAGGCCATACTTCTGTCTGCATTCAATGAAGGAAACTGGTGAGGAGAGTCGCATTTTCTTAGAAATGCTTCTGTTGATGGTAATCTTGATGCTATTTGAATAACAAATATAGAGGCTGTTCGCACATTTTTTAGACCATTTTGGTAAGCGGTAATAAAAATACTTTGCTGCAAAAGAAGTAACTGCAATTGTACTATGTTTTTAAAAGTCAAAATTATCGTCTGTGGATTGAAAGTTTTGTTTCTATTCAAAATGGCGAATTTAACAAAGCAGTGGTTCGAAGGCTACATTTACACTTTTTCCGAAGAGAAATATGCATACTCCGTTATCCGAAAACGATGTGAGAGTCATGGTTTGTGATATCTAAAGCGTCGATAGGTAATATCATCAACAAGAAAGGAGAAAATGTCAATTGAAGCCTCAAGTGCGACAAAAATTCCAAACAAGTATCCAAGGAAAAAAACAGACATCTTCGACTATTGCTAAGGTACGTTGTTTAATGTTAAAAGAAAATCATCCTAGTCAAAGGAAAGTTGCAAAATCATTAAAATGCTCAGTGTCCATTGTAAACAAAATGATGAACGTTGATTTTAATCTTAAGAAAGCAAAAAAATGCAATGTGCATCGTCTTCTTCTAAAGCTTATCGCTCAACGCAGGACACGCTGCAGAATTCTATATGAGAAACACTTATCCAAAGAAAAATGGAAAACAATTGTCACAACAGATGAAGCATGGGTGTATTTAAATGATTGTAACAAAAAAAGAGCCGTTTATTATGATAAAAGGGGAGAAAAAAAATTAAGTACATGGCTCAAAGAATCGAAAGAAAGTTTTTTTAAGGGTTCATGATTGTTGCTGGTTCTTCTTATAATGGCAAGTTAAAAATAAAGAGCGTGCAAAAAAATGTCAAGATTAACTCGAAATACTATCAGGAACATATATGATCGCCAATTTTTCTGAATGAAATACCATCGCTTTACCCACAGTGCCATCAATCTGTAAGACTCCATCAGGACAAAGCTAGCAGTCACACATCAAAATCCACTGTAAATTTCCTAAAAGAAATGGAACAAAAAACTGGTATCAAAGCCATACCCTTCACTGATATCCCTAATAAATCTCCCAATGTGTCACCTATGGAGTGTTGTGCTTTCGGACTTACTGCATTTTAAAAAACTGCATTATCCAAACCTTGTCCCAAAACCCTAACAGGACTCTGGAAAGCTGGGAGGAATGGGATAGAATATCTTTTCTGCCACTTCAAAAGGCATTATTATCCTGGAAATTGCGGTGTCGAAAGATAGTTCAGAATAAGAGATGCCAAATAGAACATTTAAACACAAGAATTTTCTGTAATTTAGTTTTGTGAATACAATATACATCGTCTAAAAATGTGTGAACAGCCTCTGTATAATCCAAAGCGAAGAAGATTTTATGATTGTGTTCTGAAGTCACGCTTGTCCATTACTGACGCTAAGTCACCCTGTTTGGCGACTGTATCCTACACATGCTTTGCAATACCTGTACTCATCATTTGAGTACTATTTCGAGGAAGAGAAGGAAAATTAATAATTCTAAAATTATTCCCTTTATTTACACTTTCCTTTCACTGCACCTTTTGGTTAATTTATTGTCAGATAGTTGGGCTTTTACTATAATTGCATTATTTAAATATATTTTTGAGGATCCTCCCATACTAGAAAATCAGGCGCAAACATGTCCTTTAACTAACAAAAGAATTTCGGAGACTAATAATGTTATAAGTTGGTATAGGTGTAATGTCGGAGACTATTAATGTTATAAGTTGGTGTATGTTATCGGTGAACATAATTTTCTAAAAAATTATGAATTTAGAAAAGAAATTTATTGACTTCAGTGCAAAGTTCTGTGAAACATTTATCAAAATTTCGTTTTAGTTTATATCCAACTGTGCTAGGATGTAAACACTTTACAAAATGAGAGAGAGAGGAAAACTTAAATTTAATAAAGTAAGCTATTTTGTCTCTCTTTTCCACATTCCTTCGTGGTGTAACTAGAAGCACCCTCAACGTATATTCGAGAGGTTCAAGGTTCGACTTCTGCTCATTTTGCATATCTCCATCATTAAAAAGGTCCTAATGATTCTATAGTATATTTATTTAATATTATTAATGATAATATAATTATTTTGCTAGTAAAAATAAAAATGCTGAAAGTGAGTGCTTGAAAGTGAATCATTCATAAAATGCACTACAATCCTTTAACTAAAGAGCTGTAAATTTTATTTTATAATTTAAATGCTAAAATATAATCAGTCAGCAATGTGCAGAATTTAGAATACAGTTAATAGAATGTTACCTTACAGACT